CGTTTTGTTGTCCATGGCAAACAGGATCATCATATTTTTTTTAAATTTGGGTTTGCCAATAAAATGAATAGGACTACTGCTAATTCTTTTTCGTTAATGTGTTTCTCCCAAAGGGAGTTGCTCCACTTCCCTTGACTGAATTTCCCTTTTGAGAAATGGTATCCCCATCCTATTTCTGACGCATCCGTACAAACGACCAAGTCTGTTTGGGGCGGAACCCAGGAAGAGGAACCGATTAGATTGTCCAAATTTGTCCACCATGACAGATGATTCTTCATCTGAATAGGGAGAGAAGAAGCAATATTTCTGCTTCTGTGAAGCAACTTCGACCCTAGATGAGTTAGTTGTTTCTTCCTTAACTTCCCAAAGGAACCACTACAGTAATACCCCGATTTACGCTGTCAATTGAACCCTCGGAGGTCCGCGTAAAACGAGAAACACGAAAATCGAATAACAGAACATATGGGATTATTTGAAATGAGACTGGGCCAACTCCCAAACTCCACTTTTTCCCACACAATACCTATGTTGTAGTAAAAATAACATCTTAATTTTATGATGGTATGCACACAAACAATTAATATTTAAGAGAAATGCAGTTGTCAGGTTAATATCCATTCAAATAATGGACTCAACCTTCCCATGCTCTCTGGCTCCTCCCTCTCTGAGAAATGTTTGGGTGAAAACACTAGATTTTAAGGTATAGTAATAAATAATACCTCAGACTAAAGTTAGGATAATTTAATTGACATTGCTGGATTCCTTGCAAGACCAGGAATATTTTGAATATACACGTCATATATTTTGCACAAAAGATAACATATTTGCTCTGTGTAAACAAAATTCTTACATTAGATCTAAAATTTGTATGTCTAATGCAAAATCCATGATGTTTATATTCAAAATGATCATCATATTGTAAGGATTCAAGCAATGTAAATTATATTCTGGCCGGGTAATTTGTGTGAATTTTATGAGCTAAAACAAATATCTTCAGTAAATAAAAAAATATACTTCACCCAGACACTATCTGTCAATCAAAATACCCCACCTCCGGCTACCCCCCTCTTCCCACGCTCACTGGGTCCCTCCCTCCCTCCCTACCCCCCCACCCCCACCTTCCCTCCCTACCAGAGAAATGTTTGAGTTAAAACAGTATATTTACATTTTTAGTTATAAATAATACCTCAGACTAAAGTTAGGATAATATAATTGACATTGCTGGATTCTTTGCAAGACCAGGAATATTTTGAATATAAACTTCATATATTTTGCACAAAAGATAAAATTTTGGCTCTTTGTAATCAAAATTCTTACATTAGATCTAAAATTTGTATGTCTAATACAAATTCCATGATGTTTATATTTAGAATAATCACAATCTTATGAGAATTCCAGCAATGTAAATTATATTCTGGCCGGGTAATTTGTATGAATTTTATGAGCTAAAACAAATATCTTCAGTAAATAAACAAATTATACTTCACCTGCGTAAATGAGTAAATTCACCGCGTAAATCGGGTATCCCGGTTCTGGCAAGGTACCGCGTAAATGACCAAATGCGTAAACGAGAACCGGGTAAATCGAGGTTCAGCTGTATTAGTAAGTTAATTCATTGAGATCTCTTATTGTTATATAAGTCACTCATTTGACAATTATAAACAATTAACTCACTATGTCGTACCTCTCTCCCGACTCTTATCTCAAGTATCCCTTAGCTCAATGAAATTTTTTTTTTTTTACATAAAATAATTTCATTTAAAACATATTATTTAGAGGGATCATCAAGATCTCTATTTGTTGCCAATCAGGGGCGCAGATATTATCCCCCAAGTAATAACCTAAGCGAGAATTTCTACGTGCGCACTATCACCCGGCAGGGTTGACAGTGCTGAGTCTCTAACATAACGCTCTATTGGCAACAGCGTTCACTATTACTCTAGCAATACTTATTGGGTTGAGAATTCCACCCTGAATTGTTCTCATATAACCCATATAAGTATGAAAGTCCATTTCAATATAACTCTAGATTGCTAGGAAGACCGGAAGGTCAACATTCCGGAAGGAACGCTAAGTCTAGCAGCCTCGCTAAAGTTCGCCTGGAAAGGCTGAACCCGCTACTGAGGACATCAAAAATAAAGTTATGAAGAGAAAAACTCAAATGTGGTCTATAGGCTGAGAGCAATTAGAAAACCGAGGGCGGAAGCCCTAAGGTTTTTTGTGAACGAACATAAGAGTAGGAAGAAAGACAGTCATGTCATTCATACTAGCACGTGAATAATTGGGACAAAGAAAACTGTAAACAGTCTACATATATATGTATATATAAATAGATATATTCACATATTTTCTTTCAGTAAAGACGAGCCCAGGAGGGCGCAGCGACATTCACTGAGTGAGTTAAAGGCAAGGGATAGTCGCCATGACTGACCAGAGATCGTATAAGAAATGGTTCCAAATACAATAATTGAGAGACAAAACAAAATAAAAGTCACTCTACTTCATCACTGTGCTAATAAGTACAAATACAGCATATAAAATCCTCGCGGAGCTTAGTATTTCAGCAATTACAACACAAATTCTCGGAGCTCTCCATTGTGTGTACTTATAGCTGAATCGCCAGCCAAGAGATGAAGGTGGCAGTGCGTGTGATGGAGGGTGCGGGAGGGGGTTTCAACAATTGCAATTAAATGCCAGGTAGTGACGTGTCCTCCTAATATTACTTATTAAGTAATTATTAGATTTTTTAATTGCCTGTATATTGGCCTGGCGAGTTATTGCTAGGCATTAACATACCTAGGTTAAAAGCTAAGCGTCGCATTCTGAGGTTGAACAAAAATCAACTTTAACAAAAATACTAAAAAAAATAAATAAATAAAAATATTAAAAAAATTGGCGGGTAAATAGGCGGACGTTCTGGAAGGTCACCTGGGGCACGCCTGTCAGACGTTCTGGAATGTCACCTGGGGCCTAAGAGTTAATATTTCAAACATCGCGGGCTAGCCGCAGCTCCTCATATTCCAATGTAAGGCCTGCTTCACACACGAGCATTTTTTATCCGCATATACGGACCCGATTGGTTTAGAAATTAATTAAGTTCAATGGGACAGAGAACTTTTAGGAAAATTACTTGAGAGATGTTGACCCCATACCTATATGAGCATGTTTTTCTTGTACGTTAGTTGTGGTGTATCTATGGTAGAGGCTGGAAGCACCTGTTTAGTATTTTTGTCAGATGCAGGCGAACTAAAGCATGAAAAACACGCCCATGTGAACACATGCCTTCTTCTGTAGGGAACAAAAATGCTTGTGTAAATTAGGCCTAATTAAAGCCCGATGTAATGAACGTGTGTGTGTGTGTGGACTTGGCAGGTCCTCAAGTTAGACGTCACCATAGCTGCATTGCGTTGCCTCTCCTCCTCCCTAATAGCCTCGGATATTGAGGAGTATATATATATATAAAATATGTGGTGAAAGTTGCCTGCTGGGAACACATCCCCTCCCTATTTACATTAATTTTGATGGGGAAAATTATCCCGATATTCACAGTTTCATTATTCACAATGACATTTAAGAACACATCCCTTGCAATATAAATATAAATTCAATTCATTTGTTTTCAGCCAAATATTATTGTAAATTGTTGTAGGTAGAAAATCTTGAGCAAACAAATAAATTATTATTTATTTACCATTTGAATAGCAAGAAAACATGCAAAGAAATATAAAATGCAGCACTGTATTTGAAACAAAACAAAACACACGGGTCTCAGGGGTTCTGAAAATACTGTACATGGAAGCCACCAGAGCCTCAGGATAAATAACATAGAAAAGGGAAAGTTTAAATTTATGGCACACAAATAACTAAACAGATCCAGTAGCTAGTAATTATCTGGTACTGTTAAAACACAGACCCTGTTGTAATTGACATGAAAGGGTTAAATTTATCATTTTTTTATTGGCTTGTTCTCTACAGTTAATCACTAATTACATTCTACCTCAGCATTCACAAATACTTTTATCCTCTTCACCACTGATCGACTCATTAGATACATTGCCACAAGAGAGGTCTGATCAGTAAGATAATATCCATCTCCCGGCCATTTCTCAATTGACCTTCCTTCACCATGACCACACCACATCTATCTTCACCAGTTTCACCATTCCTATGCTATTAAAACAATAAGCATGAAAAACTATAAGAATGTGTAAAAGAATTATAGTAATTTGTGTGTGTTCAAATTCTCCTTGCCACAGTCATCATCAACTGTTGTTTCTTCACCTCCCTCATGTTATTTAACCCCTTCACTATTGGGGATGCTACTTTCAATATTTTATTTTGCTAATGCCAGATAATTTTATTCAGCAGAGAGGAGATCTCATACACAAGTACAGTAGTTATTAATGTCTAATTGGACCTCTAAAATTACCTTTTTATTGATACAAGGTGTATTTGTTTTATTTTTTGTTGTTTACATATTATGCACAATTTTGGGTAATTTATAAAGATTTTTTCTTATACATTATGTAAACAACTCTCACTACAATCATCTGTCTGCTTTTAGAAGGTTCAAATCAAGTGTGTGCCCCTATTTTGTCAGTAAATATTAATTTCTTCACAATAGTCAGAACATTATATTTTATTTCATTCCGCTTTTATTAGAGGTTGTTATTTACCATTCAAATAGATGCATGGATGTCTGGACTGTTGGGCTGCCAATGATTTGACTGATGAATTGGACCAAAAAGCTTATGGTGGCTGCATTCATTAGATGCACTACATCTTAGACCGATGTCTGTTAGATGGAAGTTTCATTGTATTGTAGTGTATTATATAGGTAGATTCATATTACGCAATTTATGCAAAATTCCATTTTACGAAGAACAACTGGAATCCCATGTAAGCTCATAGATATAGCCAAATCTAGAGATAAAAGACTATTGTATGGTATACATAAAACTCATTATTCTACAAATCTCACTGAAATTTGTTTTCCACAGGTTACAAGCTTGCTTTCAATTATATGAAAGCAAGACGGTTCGTCGACGCAATAGATGTTTGTCATATTGTTCTTGCCAAACATCCTGAGTACCCAAGAATACGTAAAGACATTTTGGACAAGTCACGAGCCAGCATTCGCATCTGAGTGAAGTTAGAACAAGAATAGTACAGGTTGTACCTCTCTAGTCCGGCAACCTCGGGACCTGACCGGTGCCGGACCATGGAAATTCACCCTTTTCCTGGATAGATAGTGACTTGTGCTTATGCTTGGAAGCACTAGCACCACTTTCTCTGCATCATGGTCTCTTTGAAGACATATTGAAGGGTTAAATGTCGTATAGTAGCGTCTCAAATTTCGCGAGTTTTTAATTCTTAACGTATTTTATTGGAACACACAAAAAAAAAAAAATAAATAAAAATTTTGTGGGCGGAAACTTGAATTTCGACGGGTAAACAGCGTCATTTCTCTCATGTACAAAAGATTCATTATTGTTTATTACTGAATGTCTTTTTTATTGAATTAATGTTTATGTGTGCAAAATGAGCAATACAATTCATTAATAATACGTAGAATATCAAAACACACGAGGAAATGACACAGCATTGTTTTCGTTGATTGCAAAACCAGCGACTGACTGGTTCTACATATAAAACTGAAGAAAAAAAGACCTTGGTTGTAGCTGTAGTAAAATTAATATGGTTGTTTTAAGTAATGTTATTTAATGTTAATAAATGGAACAATAGAAGTAGCTAACGATAATGGTAAAGAAAAAAGAGAGATCGCGTATGTAAGTGCGCATGCGCACATGTGAAAACATATCGTCACTACTTTACATAAGAATATGAAAGCAACACTTATTTACTGTTCATATATATTTTAATTAATGTTTCTGAATTTGTTTTTATTGAATTAATGTTTGTGTGTGCAAAATTAACAATACAATTTATTAATAATACGTGGAATATTAGAGGAGACGAGACGGCTGCCGGCATTGTTTATGTTAAAGCTTACAAAACCAGTGACTGATTGGTTCTACATATAAAACTGAAGAAAATAAGACCCTGATTTTAGCTGTAGTAAAATTAATGTAAAAAAATTAATATGGTTGTTTGAAGTACCTGTAATGTTATTTAATGTTAATAAATGGAACAATATAAGTAGCTAACCATTAATGGTAAAAAAAAGTGAGACTGCGCGTATGTAAGTGCGCACATGTGAAAACATATCGTCATTACTCTACATAAGAATATGAAAGCAACACTTATTTACTGCTCATATATATTGAAGGGTTAAATGTTGTACTCTGTATAGACAAGCAGAGAGAGAGAGAGCAGCCGAACTGCCGGATGTAAACAAACCTTAATTTCCCGCGGCTTTTTTTTTTAAGGGGATTAGCCCACCCGGGCATAGGTCACTGACCCACATTGGGGCCTGAGGGGCAAAAATTTAATACTCCTGTAATAATAATAATAATTCAGATAAGTAAAAAAAAAAAAAAAAAAAAAAAAAAAAAAAAAAAAAAAAAAAAAAAGAAGCTGCTTATCTACCTATTGGACAAACTAAAATCGTTCTGGACCACAGGAGTTTCCGGACCACAGAATGCCGGACTAGAGAGGTACAACCTGTATCTGAAAGATGATCTCATGTCTGTCATAACATTCCTTGAAAATTTTATCTATTTATTATTTTTCATAACAGGATATAGTCTAGTCATTATTGTGATATGTGTATTATTGATCATGAACATACAGTGAACCCTTGAAGATCCTGACCCGGTAAATCTGGATTTTGGAAGATGCAGACAAAAATTTTGGTGGTTCTGGGCTAAGAAGCCTCCCTAAGTAGCATTCCCAAAACAGGGTGAAGGTAGTTTTAGGCTTAAAGTTTTTACATTATAAAATGTCACAGAATTAACTTAGCAGAATATAACTTGCATTGTTGGAATCCTTGCAAGATAGCGAATAATTTGAGTATAAACATCCTATAATTTTCAGATGATATAAAAATTTTAGTCCATTAGTGTAGTACATTTGAGTACAAGTTTTTCAACTCTGACCTGATAATTCTATAGCCAACTCTCCCCTGATAAAGCCAATCACTTTGGCACCTTATTCTCCTCTAACTCCACCTGAGACGATTCCAACTCTATCCCTCCTACTGAACCTATGCACTTTTCTAAGATCTCCACTTGTAGGGTTGCTGGTGTGTTATCCAGGCTGGCTGTGAGTAAGGCGCATGGACTGGACAGAATACCCCCTCGAGTTCTGAGGGAGTGTTTTGAAATTCTAGCCCCTGTGCTTGCTCGCCTCTTTTGCCCTTGCCTCAAAACCCAAACTTTTCCTTCTTCTTGGAAGCATGCCTTGGTTCAGCCCATCCCCGAAGAAGGGTGACCATTCCAATCCCTCTAATTATTGTCCTGACTTCATCCCTCTCGAAGATTTTTTAATTACAGTATAGTCTGAATGTACGCGGTCAATTGAACCCGTGGAGGTCCGCGTGAAACGCGTAAACGAAATAACAGAACATATGGGATTAATTGAAATAGAAACTGGGCCGACTCCCAAACTACACTTTTTCAGACACAATACCTATGTTGTAGTAAAAATAACATCTTAATTTTATGATGGTGTGCACACACAATTAATATTTAAGTGAAATACAGTCGCTGGTTAATGTCCATTCAAATAATGAACTCAACTCCCTCCCCCACTTCCCACGCTCGCTGGGTCCCTTCCTCCCTTCCGACCAGAGAAATGTTTGTGGAAAAACAGTATATATACATTTTTAGTAGGCTAATAAATAATACCTCAGACTAAAGTTAGGATAATATAATTGACATTGCTGGATTCCTTGCAGGACAGGGAATATTTTGAATGTAAACATCATATATTTTGCAAAAAAGATAAAATTTTTGCTCATTTTCATCATCTTCTTAAATTTCATCTAAAATGTGTATGTCTAATGCAAATTTCAGTATGTTTATATTTAAAATGATCACCATCTTGTAAGAATTCCAGCAATGTAAATTATATTCTGGCCGGGTAATTTGTATGAATTTTATGAGCTAAAAACAAATTTCTTCAGTAAATTAACAAATTCTACTTCACCAAGACACTATCTCTCAATCAAAATACCCCACCTCCGGCTCCCCCCCCCCCTCTTCCCACACTTGCTGGGTCCCTCCCTACCCCCCCACCTTCCCTCCCTACCAGAGAAATGTTTGGGGAAAAACAGTATATTTACATTTTTAGTAATAAATAATACCTCAGACTAAAGTTAGGATAATATAATTAACATTGCTGGATTCCTTGCAGGACAGGGAATATTTTGAATGTAAACATCATATATTTTGCAAAAAAGATAACATTTTTGCTCATTTTCATCATCTTCTTAAATTTCATCTAAAATGTGTATGTCTAATGCAAATTTCAGTATGTTTATATTTAAAATGATCACCATCTTGTAAGAATTCCAGCAATGTAAATTATATTCTGGCCGGGTAATTTGTATGAATTTTATGAGCTAAAAACAAATTTCTTCAGTAAATTAACAAATTCTACTTCACCAAGACACTATCTCTCAATCAAAATACCCCACCTCCGGCTCCCCCCCCCCCTCTTCCCACACTTGCTGGGTCCCTCCCTACCCCCCCACCTTCCCTCCCTACCAGAGAAATGTTTGGGGAAAAACAGTATATTTACATTTTTAGTAATAAATAATACCTCAGACTAAAGTTAGGATAATATAATTAACATTGCTGGATTCCTTGCAGGACAGGGAATATTTTGAATGTAAACGTCATATATTTTGCACAAAAGATAAAATTTTTGCTCTTTTTCATAAAATTCTTAAATTACATCTAAAATTTGTATGTCTAATGCAAATTTTAGGATGTTTATATATAAAATGATCACCATCTTGTAAGGCTTCCAGCAATGTAAATTATATATTTTATGAGCTAAAAACATATATATCTTCAGTAAATAAAAAAATTATACTTCACCCACGTAAATGATGAAATTTACCGCGTAATTTAAACATTTCATTCTGGCAAGGTGCCGCGTAAATGACGAAATGCGTAAACAAAAATCGCGTAAATCCAGACTATACTGTATCTTGAACTCCCATTTTCTCCTTGAACACCTTTCTCTTTTGTCAGATCACCAGTCTGGCTTTCGCCAGGCGAGATCTACTGGTGATATGCTCTCCTACTGCACCCATCTTTGGTCATCCTCTCTTAGGGAATATGGGTAAACTTTCGTCATGGCTCTTGACATCTCCAAAGCATTTGTAAGGGTATAGCACAAATCTTTGTTTTCTAAACTTCCCTCTTATGGTTTCTCTCCCCCATTTTGTTCTCTGCTTTCTAGCATCCTTGAGAACCGATCCATGGCAGTTGCTGTCGAGGGATAGATCTCTCGCTCTTTCTCTACCAATTGTGGTTTCCCACAGGGTTCTGTTCTTTTACCTACTCTCTTCCTTCTTTTTATCAATGATTTACTTCACATTATGACTAATTATATCCATTCTTACGCTGATAATTCTACTCTTCACTCTTCTTCACATTTTTCCATTCCCCCTTATTCTCAAACTAGATCTGTTTCTAGAGCTGATATCATTTCGTCTATCAATTCAAATCTATGCAGCATCTCCGAATGGGGAGGTAGAAACTTGGTTAAATTTATTAGTAATAAATTACAGTATTTACCAAATACACTTTCCAAATTAGATGATCTCCCATCAATCACATTTTAGGATGCAATCATTCTGCCAAATTCTAAAATAGATCTGGTAGACCTCACCGTTTCCTCTAATATGTCATGGAAGCCACACATTCACAACATTGCTAAAGCTGTCTCCCGAAAGCTGGGAATGCTGTACAGATGCCGTTGCTTCAAGTTTATAAGGGATTCATTCGTCCTAACTTGGAGTACTGCTCTCATATCTGGGTTGGCTCTTTTTCTGTCCAACTGTTAGATAGGGTGGAATCAAAGGCATTTCGTCTTATTATCTCTCCTCCTTTAGTTGATTATCTCTCTTTCCTTTCTCTTCGCCACAATGTAGTTTCTCGCTCTCTCTTTTACAGGTACTTTAACGGACAATGTTCAGTGGATTTGGCAGCCTGTGTACTGCTGGCAAGGCCGTGGGCTCGTAACACTTGCCCGTTGTGCCCTCTGTTTCTCTGTGGATGTCAGTCACACTAGAATAACCCGTTATAGTACATCCTTCTTTCTTCACACAGCCAAACTGTGGAATGCTCTGCCTTATG